GAGGAGGAGAGGGAAGAGGAGGAGAGGGAAGAGGAGGAGAGAGAAGAGGAGAGAGAAGAGGAGGAGAGGGAAGAGTAGAGAGGAATAGAGAACAGGGTGAGGGGAATTACAACATTATGGTGGAGGTGTATAAACATAATTAAGATAAATGCCCGTAATCTTCTTAATTAATTAATACAGATTAGAGAAATTGAATGAGAGGGCACTAAGATCCCATCGGATCATTAGCAGCTATGCTAGAGGCCTAGCAAGTCTCATTTTAAAACCGAGGGTAAATAAAGTATATCTATCTATCTAATAAAATCCCATCGTTCAACTCACAAGACTAGTTATTCTTCCAATGTTCTCATCTTTCTCGAGGGTCCACAGCTCGTTACAGTGTAGTGTCTTGATTTCTAACGAAGAGAGAGAGAGAGAGAGAGAGAGAGAGAAGGGAAAAAACAAGATCAGTAAGATATGAGATTAGGGTCATGACATGACCGTCACGTTGTTGCTCATTTATGAGCATTCTGATTGGTTGAGAAGTATTTCATCGTGCTGTAATTGGCTCGACGGATTTCGTAAATTCCGTGTAAAAATGTYTTTTCAATGTCCTATAAAATGATTCTATCTACAAAAAGGTGATATGCTTTTACAGTTCAACTGATACGGCGGCCATCTTGAATTATGGTATTATGCAGAGGGAACAAATTTAGAAAATTTATAAAGCATTGAGTGGCGGAATTACTTTCTAGGAATACCAGCAAATTTAATTCCTTTTTAGATGTGCAGTCAATAAATTTTCCAATAGCTGCCCCCTCGGCATCCTATTAAGTCTTAATTAAACCACATAATTCAAGATGGCCGCCTTATCGGTAAAAAATTTGTGATTTTTTCCACTATGGTTATGGACTACGTACTCTGGTTGGTTGATTTTCATGGTAAATATGACTCCACACCACAGAAATAAACCACTTCTAATTCATTCAGAATAGAATGATATTCATACCTGAAGTAGCTTCAGTGAATACTTCAGTAGCACACAAGAACCTCAGGTTGTCTACCAACTCACGCACACAATTAAGAGATGATGGGGGTAGTCCAAGGGAACACAGTGACGACAAACAAGACCTGTAATAATACCCATAGAACGTTAATACTGTCTATATGACCTATATAGGAGTGGTAATCGCTTGGATGATACTTTGGAGGGAACGCGGGGAGGTCCAATATTCTTAACTTTAGAGATGTGTCTTTTCCTTGAGAATAATTGTCGATGCACATCCTCAAAGCCTTWGGAGAATAACTCATACACCAAGAACATTTGATTTTAAAAGAGTTTTTAAAAAAATCGCGCCTTCAATTCCAATTAGAATTTGTTGACGAAGAGCTACCCCTTAAAAATGCCGCTATGAAATCCCATTCCTTTGATAGTATATTTTTATTGATATCAATTATTGTGGTACCTGACATTTCTCACACAAGAAGGTAACCAAGCAGCCAGCCCTTCGATATTATTCAACCACGTCCCCAGTTCTTCTGTGTTCTGGTTATTCATCGGGTTCAACAGGAAGGCAGCATTTACAAGGTCTGTGTAGAGGAACGTCACCTCCTGGATCATCGTCTAACAATATCAATCAATCAATCAATCAATCAATCAATCAATCAATCAATCAATCAATCAATCAATAGATAAATACAGATTTTTGGTTTGCGAATCCATCATACGAATAAAAATTCATACGAGACGAATGTCCCATAAAATAATAATTACAATCCATTTTTAAAAGTCTATTGCTTTCAGAACAAACCTGAAACTTCATTTCCTTGTCTTGGTTTGGTGACAACTGTTTGCCAGAAATGCTTGTATCCTATCAAAATGCAAACATGATTTCAAAGTTCTATGTGTAAGAGAAGATGCAATGTGTCTAGGGTTAAAAGCCGCTCGTGTCAAATTTATTTTTGGTTTAATATTTGATTCCTAAAAATGAAAATTCTGTGGTTGCTGTTGCTTTCGCTGCGTTATTTTCGCTTGTTGCTGTTGTTGTTGTCGTTGTTATTTTGCTGTTTTGCTACTGCTATTTTCTCGCAAGGTTTCCTTTGTCTTAAAACAAACTGGGAAGACACTTTAGTTTTTCTTTGTTTTTCTCTGTTTTTCGCTTGTTTTTCAACTGTATAGGGAATGCTTGGAAGCCTCCTATTTGATTTTTACATACTGTACCTCTCCAAGTAATGTCTGACCAAGGTATGCCTGACCTAGCTTCCAAAGGTCTGGGAGAGACTCTGTAACCAGGTCGGATAATTCCTCTACGAACTGAACTCTTTGTGGAGTAACATGGCTGCTTCTGACTGTTGGAAACAAAAATCTATTGCAATTATCTGGTAGGAATGGTTAAAGCAGTGCACCACAATGAGGATCACAAAATATGGACCTCTTACTTAGCAGGCAGCACACTAACCCACCAAGCCACACTTGCTCCTTAAAACAAGTGTGTGAGGTCACTGAGGATCAAACTATGGACCTCTTGCCTAGCACACAGCTTACTAACCAACCAAGCCACACTTGCTCCATAAAACAAGTGTGTGAGGTCACTGCGGATCAAACTATGGACCTCTTGCTTAGCAGGCAGCACACTAACCAACCAAGCCACATTTGCTCCATAAAACAAGTGTGTGAGGTTACTGAGGATCAAACTATGGACCTCTTGCTTAGCAGGCAGCACACTAACCAACCAAGCCACACTTGCTCCATAGAACAAGTGTGTGAAGTAACTGAGGAGCAAACTATGGACCTCTTGCTTAGCAGGCAGCACACTAACCAACCAAGTTAACAAATTAAAATATCATGATAGACTTACGTTGTCGCTCTAAATTAGATGTCTTGCTAACAGGAGCTTTCATGCTCTTACCAAGAGCTGGCGAATCTGGTCTAAATGTGCCTGAAAAACGAGGGGGAAGACCTTATTCCACTAGTACCTACAACACACATAAACTTTGGATCCATTGGGAATATTTTAGTCTCTGATCGCCAAGATGTTATTTGCCGAGGAAAGAACATATTGAGTAATCAAGGACAGATTGTAAGAAACATGTTTCTTGAAGGAATTTTCAATTTCTCTTAAAATGGATTTCTATATTTAAAGCACTGTTGAAGGAGCTTTAGGATTAACATGGACCCTGTACTTGCCTGGAATAGATGGTCTTGAGTCTAAATGATCTGAATCGGATACTCCTTCCACTTGTAAGAATGGACTAGAATCTGTAGACATATGAAATGATGGTGTTATTTCTTCATGCTAAACGCAATAAATGATCAATGGGATGGTCAAGGGGACAATCAAGGGAACTCCAACCAGTGTAAGATAAATATAAATAAAATAAATAACTTTATTTAAGTGTCGATGCGTCACTGGGTTGCTAGACCGATGCTATGGCCGCACGACCATGCTGCCTCCTTCAAGTAGTTAGTTTCTGGCCTTAACGAAGGCAGGGCACCATCGAAATCAGAAATTTAGCTCTTTGGGTTTTGCAGAAGGACGAAAACCAGAGAACCTGGATAAGACTCCTGGAATGAAGGGAGAGACCCAACAAACTCTACTCACATGTGATGCTGAGCTGAGACCCCATACTGTAGTGCATTACCGCTACACCACACTGGATTATTACCCAAACAATACCTGAAGGAATGACACATGGTCGGGTATGGGAGAACATTGTGTGCAAACTGTATGGGTCTATGTGCTTACAGTGAAGGAGAGAAAGGGATGCTTGTCCACTTTTTGCATTCATAGCAAGTTTAACTTCAACTGAATCGGTATTGTACATGTATGTACAGGGCTTAAAATAATGGCCAGTCATCGGACAACATCCGGCCAGAATTGCCCTATTTCACTATGACGTCACATCAAAACAATCTATTGTTTAAACGCAAAGGATCATGGTCGTCAGAGGGGGTCAAATCAACACAAATTCACCRAAAATTGTTCTAAAACCCGTATCAATCCACGAAGAGAAGTAAAATAGCCAGCAAACACTCAGAATATTTCTTAGTACATATTAACACATATTATATCTGAAAACCAGGCCATTTTAGATTAAACTGTTTCGCTAGGAGCAAATTTTGTTGAATTTAACTATTGGATTTGGCGATTCTATCCCCCCACATAAACAAGCAGTGACGTCATAGTGAAATAGGGCAATTGGAACTTGCCCGGCCAAATCTTTGCCTTGCCAGTAATTTCGACCAGTAAGGTTTAGCTAGAAATGAGGCGTGACTGAGCTAAAACATTTGGCCAGTGATCACTACCAGCCGTTATTTTAAGCACTGTTATTGTACCTTTAGCCTGATGATCATTCTTGCAGCTTGTCAGAAGTTTCAGCAGCCATGCATGCTGGTTGACAAGACAGTCCCAGGCTGGATCCCCACCACTTTCTAACTCAACAAGATACCTAAAAACATGAAAATACAATGAGTCTTGCCACATCCTTCTTGAAAATTGTTGTAGGCCAATGAAAGTAGTTTTTTAGAGAAGTTATCTCCAGGTAATGGCAAAATGATAAAAAATTTTCAGCTCTGGGGTTTAGAAATCTCTTGTAGTGGTAATATTGCATCCCTTCTGACCTTCAAGGTGGATGGTCTGAGGTACCTTCACAGACAGTCAAATGTAGGAAACGCGGAAAGCACTTACTAATAATATTAATAGTAATAATAATTCATAATATTTATATAGCGTTAATTCCTTAAGTTCAACAATGCTTTATATTCACATTTCAAACAATATCAATAATATTAATATCAACAATGTAAGAAGTGCAAAGAGCAGTTGCCTATGCCTCATGCTTCTCTTCTTTCTACTTTTGTGGTATATCACTGAACAGAGCACAGTAAAAGCTATTATATTTCTTATGAAATATAACAAAGGTTTTTTTAACCACATAAAATTTCAGGTCATGATGGGGAGAGAACGACTTTGGTGATGAGAAGACAAAAATTGTTGTTGTTGTTGTTGTTGTTGTTGTTGTTGTAGCTATAAGCAACCTTTAGATACGACGACAAGTACGAGATCAAGTACGAGTACCAGTTATAAAATTGGTCCTGTGCATGTGGTTAACACTCAATCATAGTCGATTTCCGATTTTTTACCATGTAAAGTTTCAATCTACGTACACAATCACGACTACAAAAAGATAGTGCCTCTCTTTAAAAGTTAAACACTCGTACTCCTACTCGTTCTCGTACTCGTAGACTCTATTATTAGTGGAATAACAACGAATATACAACAACTTTCCTGCATTTACATTGGCTATTTCTATGGTACGGCCGGCGGACAACTTGAAACAAAATGTTTAAAGTTTATACCTTATAATTTTCTTCTGTTCCTCAAGCGGAGAAGGGAATTCTTGCAGCTTACTCTTGAGGTGATTCCTAAATGATTCTATCTTTGTTTCCACCTCTTGAACAACTATACAAACAAAATGACATTCACGATATTAGAGAGCACTAATGAAAAGTACTATCTTACATGTAGTAGTACTATACAATAATTTGTTGTACTTGATAAAATACAGTAAATGTATGAACACATCAAGTCGACTTTGAGCCATTGTTTTGTTGTCACTCAATCGAATTTGGGAAAGATTGCATTTCTATTGTGGATCAATTTCACAGCGATTTTCATAAACATGCGAACTCTGTGTCTCCAAGTTGCACGCTGAAATTTGTTTTCTCCCCTGACGTCAATCAAACCTAATCAGTCGGCACCTTTCATATTTTTGGCTGGTGGCAGCGAAAAACCAAATTTTAGCTTGCAGCTCACAGACACAGAGTTTGCATGTTTATGAAAATTGTAGTAAATTCTTAATACAAATTTTGGCAAAATTGTTTTAGTGTTTCATGCTAACTTTGTATGTACTCAATCCATTATTAACATGCAACCAAATTATTTWAAAAAAATCTGCCCATAGCGATTTAGGTGGGTACAGTTACTGCACCAACCTTTCTTGAAGATCTTGATATCAGTCTCAGCAAAGAGTGATTTTGCTCTGCTGTAATCACTGATAACCAACTCATATTCACCCTAGAGTTAATACAGATAATAATAACAGATTACTATTGAAGCAGAAATAGTGAGAGGATGTACTTTATGTGAGTATTTTTGAAAACCAACAAAAATGGTTGGGGACTTTGTGGGATGCAAGTTATAATGACGATGATGGTGATGGTGATGATGATGATGATGACGATGATGATGAAGATGATGATGAAGTTGGTGGTGGTGGTGATGGGGAAGATGATGGTGATGATATTGATGATGATTATGGTGATGACAGTAAATGATAATGATGATGGTGATGATGATGCTGATGATGATGGTGATGATGATGATGATGATGGGGATGATAATGGTGGTGATGACAATGAATGATGATTGTGGTGGTAGTGGGAGTTGGTGGTGACGTGATAATGGTGCTAAAAGTAATGAAATGAAGTGATGGTGATGATGATGATGGTGATGACGATGATGATGGTGGTGTTGGTGGTAGTGTTAGTGGAGGTGGTGACATATTTGTTTTGTACCCCCCAGCACTTTTGAGTCTTTGATCATTCTATTGATTTGATCATGGGAAGATGCATCATTCATGATCAGATGTGACATTTATGTAAACTGATAGCACAGTTTTTACCTGTTTTATATTTCTGTCTATGCTGTGAGGAAGGCTAAAGAGAAACCGAAAACGCTGCAGGACATTCAAGGCATTTCTCGTTCGATCAGCATCATCTTTACGATTCAAAACATCTTGAAACAAAGCATCAGCATTCTTGCTTGCTCCTGCCAAAGAAAATACACCGGGATTTTTGGTTATGTCAGATCTAGACTCTTCGATATCCACAACAGCAATAGCAGTGAGGCAGAAATCATACAATGTTACACAATGTAGGACAAGAAAATGATCCCAGAACTCACTTCACTTGTGTTGACAAGGGTTTCCTAAATATTGATTGGCACCCACAATACAATGCTTGGGACCCAAATGTGTCCCAGAACTCACTTCACTTGTGTTGACAAGGGCTTCCTAAATATTGATTGACACCCACAACACAATGCTTGGGATCCAAATGTGTCCCAGGACTCACTTCACTTGTGTTGACAAGGGATTCCTGAATATTGATTGGCACCCACAACACTATGCTTGGGACCCAAATGTGTCCCAGGACTCACTTCACTTGTGTTGACAAGGGCTTCCTAAATATTGATTGGCACCCACAACACAATGCCTGGGACCCAAATTTGAGCAGTTCTGGAAACGAGTAGCCGACCAATACTGACCTTAACACACAGAAGAAACCTTTTCACACACTAAACAATGATAAAATGAATAGATATAGCTGTACCTTGTAATATGCTTTCCAGAGTCTCAGCAATAGAGCCCCCATCACATTCACTCTCATCCTTCAACATTTGTTTCTGGACAGCTTTTCATACAGTCAAGGCATGTAATTTCCCTGAGTTCCTTCTTTTACTTACATCTAATTCCACTATTATGTGATCCAGAAAACTAGCTAGGACTCCACTAGAATTTTGAATCCCATCAATCAAATTTCCAACAGTTTCTCAATATAATATTTCAGTGCCCCCAAAGATTTTCAGCTTCTGCTGCCCCTGCAAGGGATAAGGGTGCCATGAAAGTAGGCTGTTCTAAACAAAAACATTCTAGGAATAGTAGAAAGGGGTGGCAAAAATAGTTCAAAGGATACATCTGAGTGTGTCAAGCGAATCCAGAAATGTTCCTAAATTTTCCTTGACAAAAGCCAAGGGTCCTGCTGCTCGTCTGGACTCTTCATTCTTAATGTAATTCAAACCATTGCTCAGGGTTTCAAAGCTGCATGACAAAAACAATAACAAAAGAGTTAGTTACTAATCATTTAACTTGACAACAAGGAATGTTGCCTCTCTTTACTGATTTATTTGATGCTGTATTTTCTATACTGCTAACTTTAAAATTTCAGAGAGTGCATACTGTACCATATACCCGTGAAAATGTTTTAAAGACATTGCACAAATTAGTAAGTTCAGTAGACCTCAGTAGACCATAGACCTACKAACTTTAAAATGCAGGTCTATGCCTAGCTCTCTTTACTGATTTATTTGATGCTGTATTTTCTATACTGCTAACTTTAAAATTTCAGAGAGTGCATACCGTACCATATACCTGTGAAAATGTTTTAAAGACATTGCACAGATTAGTAAGTTCAGTAGACCTCAGTAGACCATAGACCTACGAACTTTGCACTACTTTGTACAATTTTGTTAGTTAACTTTTTCACAGATATATGGTATGCAATCCATACAATGAAGAAATACAAAATGTGCATGTATGGTGTTTACAGTAATAAAGAATGCTGGAATGTGCAAAGTATGAGAGAAGTGTAAACAAGGTAAAGCATGATGTACTGCAGAGAGCTTCTAAACACTTCTCAAGTGTTCTGCCAATTCCAAGTGGTTTATACAATAACTGTACATGTCACAGAAAGCATTGTGTTTTATATTTCTTTTATAAAAACACTTTGAATTAAAGAAAGCCATTATTTTTGATACGAATGATGAAATAGAGATTTTTTAACAGATAAAAAAACTTATTAGAGGCCAGGATGTCTATTCATTTTTTTCCATTTTGGATATGTAATCTATTCTGGTTCATTTTTTCATTCTCAGTGACCTAAATCCCAGCGCTCATGCACTGGACTTAATTTTTGAAAAAAAAATCCACAGTTCTCATTTTATCCAGAAGGATAATTCAGTATGATAGGTGTCAATATTAATACTGACACTAATTATTGAAGGATACGTTGTACCATGAGCAAATAGGTATACTTTCAAATTTTTGTTTCTTTATAACTACACTCAATTTATTTACATGTTATACCTTGTGTCACAATGTTTTTCCAATAAAAACCAAGCTGCATTGAAATTCTCACCAAGGATGTTTCCACTTCCTAAAAATGTTGAGAACAATACTAATTAAAAAATTGAATACATCTAATTAAGTGATAGGGCTTGCTAAGCAAGAGGTTCATAGTTTGATCCTCAGTGACCTCACACACTTGTTTTAAGGAGCAAGTGTGGCTTGGTAGGTTAGTGTGCTGCCTGCTTAGCAATAAGAGGTCCATAGTTTGATCCTCAGTGATCTCACACACTTGTTTTAAGGAGCAAGTATGGCTTGGTTGGTTAGTGTGCTGCCTGCTAAGCAAGAGGTTCATAGTTTGATCCTCAGTGATCTCATACACTTGTTTTAAGGAGCAAATGTGGCTTGGTTGGTTAGTGTGCTGTTTGTTAAGCAAGAGGTTCATAGTTTGATCCTCAGTGATCTCACACACTTGTTTTAAGGAGCAAGTGTGGCTTGGTTAGTTAGTGTGCTGCCTGCTAAGCAAGAGGTTCATAGTTTGATCCTCAGTGATCTCACACACTTGTTTTAAGGAGCAAATGTGGCTTGGTTGGTTAGTGTGCTGACTGCTAAGCAAGAGGTCCATAGTTTGATCCTCAGTGACCTCACACACTTGTTTAAAGGAGCAAGTGTGGCTTGGTTGGTTAGTGTACTGTCTGCTAAGCAAGAGGTCCATAGTTTGATCCTCAGTGACCTCACACTTGTTTGGATTGAGCAAGTATGGCTTGGTTGGTTAGTGTGGAAAGCCCACGCATGTGAATACATTAAATGTGCTCATACTATTGCACATTGTGCTGCAATATCCCTGCTCTCATATCAACTTGAAAGTCATTTTTTAATCAATAAAATGCCACCTCCTGGTTATGCATTGAATAAACAAGAAAGTCGTACCTTCAGGGAATAAATCCTCCAACTGATCTTCTGGGATTCTGTAGCTGTTAATAAATAATAATGATAATAATAAAATGAAACAAAAGATATRATGTCTCAGCCATCTGATACAAATAAAGCTACCAGCCAATCAGCATGCATGTTAACAGGGTACCACCCAAAGATTGTAATTAATTTTAATCCCCTGGGGGTCCTGGTGGAGTGGTAATGACACTGGTCTAGTATGGTCTAGTAACATTAATATGAAATAGGGTGGAAATAGGGTATTACCCAAAGACATCAATTGCAATCCCTAGGGGGTCCTGGTGGAGTGGTGGTGACACTGGTCTAGTA